TCTTTTCCCCATTGAATGGTCTTGGCACACTTTTGAAAATGTTTGACCATGTATGTGAGGATATTTTTCTAGGCTTGGTCTTTCATTCATCTATATGTCTCTTCTTATGCCAGTACAATGCTGTTTTGATTGCTGTAACTTTATAGTAAGTTTTGAAGTCGGGAAGTATGCACCTCTGTTCTTTTTAAGATTGTTGTGGCTATTTGGGGTCACTTGAGATTCCATATGAATTTTAGAATGGGTTTTTCTTTTTCCGCAAAAACCTGTCATGGAGATTTTGATAGGAATAGCATTGACTCTGTAGATCACTTTGGGTAGTATTGTCTCCCAAAATTATGAAGTCTTTCAATCCATGCGCACGAGATGTCTTTCCCCTTACGTCTTCAGTTTCTTTCAGCAGTGTTTGTATAGGTCTTTTGCCTGTTGGGTCAAATTTAATACCATCACTTTTGTCATATTCTGTACATTAGAAGGGAGTCACCGTGTCCAGCCCAAGAGGTAGGGATTATAGAGGTCCTCTTAGAGGATGCCTACTATAGTGACCTAATTCTTAAAACCCCAGGAGAAAACATTGATTGGGTCAGCTTCCCTCATTCAGTGGTTTGCAGCCAATGGATTGGGTTCTTTTGTGTTTGGTATCTACCCCTCTATCCAAAAGCTGAGAACGTTGGTGGTAGCAGTCTTCCTCAAAAGGCTGTGTGAGGCATATAATGAATTGCTCTCATTTCCTTTGCCTCTAGAAGTTTTTCTGAGCACTGTAAACTAAATTAGTACTTGGTTTTCTTTTTCAGAGCTGTAGTGCGAGTGCCCTACAGGCAAGATTGAAAGTAGCTGCACATGAAGCTGAGGAGGAATCTGATAATATTGCTGAAGATTTCTTAGAGGGGAAAACTGAAATAGATGATTTTCTCAGTAGCTTCATGGAGAAGAGAACAGTATGTAATCATCTTCAGTTGAGGACAACTGACAGTGTTATATCAAATTACTTAAGTATATTCATGAGTAAAAAATACTTCAGCATGTTACTGAGCTAGAGTTTTGAGTGCCCTGAGAAGAAACTGAAGAGCCTCTATTCTTTAAGAATGATAGCAATATTTTATTATCATTTTGTATTAAAGTTAGTAAATTAGCTTAAATCTGGTCTTAGTTGTTATAGGAGTGTATAACTGCTTATGTTCAACAAGTTATTTAAAAAGGGAAGAATCATAAATTTTATTTTTTTTATTTTTTATTTTTTTAAAGATTTTATTCATTTATTTGACAGAGAGAGATCACAAGCAGGCAGAGAGGCTGGCAGAGAGAGAGGAGGAAGCAGGCTCCCTGCTGAGCAGAGAGCCCGATGCGGGGCTCGATCCCAGGACCCTGAGATCATGACCTGAGCCGAAGGCAGAGGCTTTAACCCACTGAGCCACCCAGGCGCCCCAGAATCTATAAATTTTAAAATTTGCAATATAATATTTGCAATATAATAATATAATGTTCTGCAATAGTTTCTGTTCTGTTCTGATTTCCAAAAATTAAGAAAGTCTATTTAATAGTATTTTGCCCTTTGATAAAATTCTAAATATTTACCTAATTTCTCTGAAACATCACATTTGAAAATTAACCTTTTGTTATTAAACTTGCAATTAAATTTGCAATATAATAATATAATGTTCTGCAATAGTTTCTGTTTGTTCTGATTTCCAAAAATTAAGAAAGTTTATTTAATAGTATTTTGCCCTTTGATAAAATTCTAAATATTTACCTAATTTCTCTGAAACATCACATTTGAAAATTAACCTTTTGTTATTAAACTTCGTAAAATGTGTGCTATGTATATGCATATCCTGTTAAGGAAAGTGGGCAGATTTTATTATCCCCGTTTTCCATAAGAGAAAAATTGAAGTTTAGGGACGTTAAAGACTAGTTATAGCATTAGTAAGGCATTGATCTCTGGTTCATTCTTTTGTGGTACTATACCTTGAAGCTTTTATTTACTAAGCTTCCTAGCTAACAACAGTAGGATTCTTTTCTTTTTTATTTTTAAAACACAGATGCTTGAAATTCTACAATCAGAGAATTGATATAATGGGTCAAGGTTTGTTTTAACATTCTAGAAGTTCACAGGCAAAGGTTATCTTCCAAATACAATTCCATGTTTGCGGGGGTGGGGATTCTTAAATTCTGAGCTACTTTAAACATTCAAAAGTTAAAAATGTCAGCAGGTTAAAGGATTCTTACTTCAAGTTCTGTTATAATTTAAGAAGCAGTAGTTAAATCATTGGAGAAGTGACTGGTATTTTAAATCATTTATCTTCTAGATCTGCCACTGTAGAAGAGCCAAGGAAGAGAAACTTCAACAGGCAATAGCAATGCACAGCCAATTTCACACCCCACTATAGGTAAATTGTCTCCCAGAAAGTTTAAGTCAGAGGCTATTGCATGACTGTTCTTTTATAATTGAAGTCTTTTTACCAGTGCTTGTTTAGTCAGCTTTAAGCATAATTCTGTCATAACTTCTGTTAGAGGATATATAAAATGCTTTGTATTATACATTAAGCATAATTTTATATACATTAGCATTTAACAAGTAGAAATCTTTTGGATGTTTTATCACTATGATGTCAGCTTAAATGAAATGTTGGGTTTTTTTTTTCAGTGTTGGATAGTTCTGTAGAATTGTAAACTATAATTCATTCCTGTCTCTTAGCTCGTATGTGGTGTATACCATATCACTTAGTTGACGTATTTCTCACTAGTCTCCTTTGTCATTTCTTCCTTTAAAATGAACTTCCAGTCTGTCGCTTTTCCATCTCACACCAGGAGTATTCCAGTAATTGTCTTGCCAGTTGCCAGAATGTAGTGTTTCTCCTTCCTACACAGCACTGACAGAACGAACTTCCTCAAATACCACCCTGTGGTATAATTTCTCTGCTGCAGAACTTACAATGAGATCTTAGCAGTAGTAGATCACTGTTAAATTTCTCTCTGGTTTTGAGCCTTCTATAATCTGGAGTATATTTGAGAGCACCCACTTCAATTTTCCATTTTCCCCTTAAGTTTTCCATTTCATGTTCTTTCTCCTATCATTTTATCTTTGGTCACGCCTTTATCGATCTCAAGACACTTTTCCTTTTCCTCTCCATCTCTGTAGTTTTAGGAGTGATTTGGCTGTGAAAACTAGTTCCCACCCCAGCAAATTTAAGTAAAAGTTTGTATTATTGAACAATGCAGAGATAGAGTCAAAATGCACAAAGGACAACTCAGTCACTGAGTGAAAACACTCTGGAAGACCATAAAAACTTCTCACACCCTTGCCAAAGCTGCCTGTTTCTCTTTCCTGCGTCTCTGTTCTTGCCTGCCTCTCACTCTCTTGTGCTTCCCAACTTGCTCTTCAGATCTCCTTTCTTAGCTCTGCTCGCATGTGCTCCACCGTGGCTGCCTGCAGGCCTGATCACATTATGACAGTTCAGGTAGCCCACGGAGATGAGCAAGGGTTTCATTGCAAATCCCCAGGAGAGAGACTGGCCCAACAGCAGTTTAGCCTGGAGATCAGTGTCATGTGGCCCTTTGTTCTTGCAAATGGGCTGAAGGAGTAGACTCTGCGAAGGGAGCATTTCTAAGGAGGGAAGTGGCAGGAATTTCTCATCTCTACCTCAGACTCATCTGCCCCTTTCCTTAATCTAGTTGTACATAACATTACTGCCAACATTGAATTGTTTTTTTTGTTTGTTTGTTTGACAAATGAGACTGTCAATCCCCTTGGGTAAGGGTTGATTTTTAATATCAAGGCATAAGAAGAAACTCGGCATTGAGTAATTATTTATACGAACATGCTAGAATCCTTTCCCTACCTCCTTTTTCCAAGTTATCTTCTTATAGGTAGATCTTAATTGGAAGGGAATGTAAAGAGATGAAAATTTATCATCTTAATTTAAATCTTAGGGCTTTTTTATGTTCTTTTCTTTTCAGATTTTCCTGAAAACATAAACTGCCAAGACAGAAATGACACAAGACTAAGCACATTTTTATGTATGATTTGCAAATTGGCATTTCATCACAGTGGCTGAATTCATAGATATCCTGTATAGATCGTATGCAGAACTGAGACTGATTTTGTACAGATCAGAATGATTGCTGTGGTCTTTGCTTTGAGAAATTTTTCTGCACGATTTGCACTATAAATGTTTATTTATTGTTGATCAGTCCTATCATATTTAAGTTCTATCGCTATTCCTCTGTTAAGTACCTATGCATGTAATTTTAGCTATTTTCAATATTTTATAAAATTGCTTCATTTAAATTTATATTTTTAATTTGAAACTGCCTAATTTCTTTATCAAAAATGGTTTGTTTAGATATTTTTCCTCTCAACCTTTTTGAAAAATTACTATTTTCAACTGTAGAAACCCTTATTTTTTCTTCTTTCCAGATGATGAAACTTTCAAAAACATTTGTTTTTAAATATTCATAGTGTCAGGAAATACCAAACCTACTAATGTGCCATCTCAAGAAAGTAACTTTTAATACACAGTAAATCAAGATAATACATCAGCTCATATATTTAATTTTTAAAATTAAGGGTACACTTAAGAAGCAATATAGTTAAATAATTATTTTACCTAATAGAAAAAAATTGCCTTCTACTTCATCTAGTCCAACATAAACTTTCATACTGATTTTTTTATATAAGTATCTGATAGGTTTGTGATTGGATAATGATATACTTTCTAAATTCCTAATGTTAAAAACTATCTTTTTGTTAATAAATAGTAAATCTAGACACAGAAGTCTGATTTTTTTTTTTTTAACTTTACTGTGAGCTAGCTTTTCCTAAGAACAGGTTTAGTAATGAAATTAATATTTAACTTTTAGGCAGTCTAGTTTTTAATTAAGTTTATTGAAGCTCTTTAAGTTGTAATTTGCTTCTATACAGTGTTACAGAATGAACACATTTTATGCATAGCTGTAAAAGCTAATAAAGGAGAAAATCTGTAACTATATGTATCTGAGGCTTGGCCATGTCTAAATCACAGAACAACTTAATGCATATTTTTATTTAAATTTCCTTCCCAATATGTATTGTTACTCCAAATGCCAGCATATAGTACTATGGTTTTGTTTTATTTTTCATTCTTTTTCTTTCTGTACACGTTCTTGGCAATAGAACTTTAGGAAAAACAGAATTATTTTCTTAGACTTGAAAAATAATAATCTGTCTTTGTGGAAGACCAAGTATTCATATGGACTATAAATATATAATTGGAATAAAGATATTAACTTTCATTAATTGCCTGTCTCACTGGCGCTGTGCTAAGGGCATGTTGTTTAATCTTTAAAATGACCAGACATGATTTTTATAGACTTGTGGATGAAATAACTGAGGTAAGTATTTTAAATTTGTGACAGGGTCTTCTGGGTATTCAGAAACCTTTCCTTATTGCACAGACCAGCAGAACTTCTAGTTTTCCCAGCAATCACTGCAGTGGAGGACATAATAGCCCCAGTCTTTTGCAAACAATCAGGTAGCTTTCTTAGAAACTGTAGAACCTATAACAAGAGACCAGCAGATCACAGCCGTTAAAGGGACATTAATTCATTTGATCTGCTAATTTTATTAAACACCTATTCAGAATAAGGTACTGTGGAAATACTATACAGTAACTCAAACATGGTTTAGGTGCTTCATCTAACCTTCCCTATACACAAAATCAAGCAAAGCCCCCAAACAACCCACATTTTCTTACATAGTAAATTTCCTCCCCATAATCATGTAATTCATCTCAATATTCTTTATTCTTTAAACCAAACTGTCCTAGTTTTGTTCTATACCAGTTAACATAGCTTGCTTCCTCCTTCCAAAATTAATTTATTAGGCAACTTCCATACAACCTAGTCATTAAAGTGAGGGATTTGATCATGAATATCTGCATTTAACCAGCAGACAGTTTAGTTCAGATATAGGTTGTATAAGTTGTCCAAGACAGAAAATGTCTGCATTTGAATAATTCTCTGTGAATTTGGGTTTCTACTGCAATAGAAAAAGTGAATGACTTTTTGGGTAATTTTATGGCTATGTTGTTTTTCTAAAAATTGGTTATTTGGAGAAGTCATGCCACAGTTCGGGGAAAAAGGCCTGCGAAGGCAGAAGTTCTGATTTACTTTAACATATAAGAGAAAACCAGATGGAAATCAGAAATTTGAGAAAAGCTTAGGAGTTATTATTCAGAATAGAGGTTTGTCATAGGTAGAAATTTAAATGCTAAATATCTCAAAGAGAAGAAAGTTGTCTAAAATAGGATGTATAGTAAAGATATCTATTTCAAAGTTGGAAGGTTTTCTAGGAGTAAACAAGAGTAGGAAATTTATATTGGCATAGAGCTTGGTTGACAGGTAAGGTTGATCATAAATTATATTTGCTTAAATTGAAGGAATTTCAATGAAAATTAGAATTCATTTTTAGGGGAAGAAAGTAAACTTTTTTAACTTAAAGAGTAAAACCATATGCCAAGGTCTCCCTTATCCTCACCTAACTTTATTTTTAAAAGAGTTCCTTTGTGGATTGCTGAACCATCGTCAAAGTTCTTACCTACTTCCAATCATTAAATTTTCCTGAGTATCACTAAATAACAAGTCACTTGAGCTCTAAATATTACTAGTTGGGAAGTAATCTGCCTTGTCAGTTTTACAATACTTTATTACCTATGCCTTAAAACAGGTGCCCTAAATAAAACACTTTCTGATTGATGTTTGACTTAAAATGAAAATGTGCTATTAGAGATTTTAGTCTTTTGGATTAGCCATGCTCTTTCAAGACCCTGTGAAAGTATAACAAAGTTTTGATATGCAATAAATGTAACTTTTTATATAAATATTAGTGTTAGATTAACTTTTAGTAAGTAGTCTAAATGAACATATTATATAATATCCTGTAAAATGTTTGGGGAGGCTGAAAAAAGTTTGTGTCTGATGTGAAAGACATCCATTAAAGACATTTAAAAATATCAAATATTTATACTACTTGTATTTCAAAATAAATGCATACTTTTGTTTCATATATTTACTGTGTCATTTTAAAAAAATTTTTAATTCTCTATTTTTATAGATAAAAACTGCCAAATGGAAGAAATTAAAAGCTCATCCTCAGTATTAGGCAAAGAAGTTTCTAAGAGTTGATAACTACAAGAATGGCATATAGTAAGTTGTGTTATAAAAATGCAAAGCCCATTACAACTATATCCTAAATATTATTAATAAGGTATTATAATATACAATAAATTGCAGAAAATGAACAAATATTCCTCAGTAGAGTGTGCTCAAATTTTATATTCTCAAAGAATTACACTTGTTTTATTTACATTAACAGAGTACTTTTATATTACATATTTGTAACATATTAGAGTTGTTCTGTTTTTAAATGATGAACACATAAATAGTTACAGTTGATCTTTGAACAATGCAGAGGTTGGGGCGTTGACTACCTGCACAAACAAAATCCATCTACGATTTTTGACTCCTCAAAAACTTAACCACCAGTAGCCTGCTGTTGCCTGGAAGCCTTATTGATAAAATATTGATTACTACACATTTTGTTCTTTATACATATTATATACTGTATTCTTACAATAAAGCTAGAGAAAAGAAAATGTTAAAATCATAAAAAGAAAATATTTACACTCCTGTGCTTTATTGAAAAAAAAATCTGCATATATGTGGAGTTGTGCAGTTCAAACTGGTATTGTTCAAGGGTCAACTGAATACTGGATTATTTTATTTATTTAAATATATTACTATACCCCTTCCAAACCTTTCATACTGGACATTTCAGCAATGTAGCTTTCTTAACCTTTCTCTTTTTTTCTCAGTTTTATTATACACAGTTGATATATATCACTATGTAAGTTTAAGATATGTAACATAATGTATATATTTTGAAATGATTACCACAGTAAGTTGACTTAGTAGATGAACTGAAAAAAAAAAAAAGGCAAAAGTTGTTTTCCTTATGAGAATTATTAGGATTAATTAACTGTCTTAACTTTAAGGTATATCATGAAGCAGTGTTAGCTACATTCATGCTGTTACAACCCAGTACTTACTTCTCTTGGAACTGGAAGACTGTAGCTTTTCACCACCTTTCTCCAGTTCCTCCCTATACCGCCACCTCTGGTAGCCATAAATCTGAGCTCTTTTCCTATGAGTTGTTGTTTTTTGTTTTAGATTCCACACATGAGAGAGCATGCAATTTTTGCTTTTCTCTGGCTTATTTCACTTAGCATAATAATGCCCACAGGATCCATTCATATTGTCATAAGTGGCAGGATATCCTTGTTCTTTATTGCTGAATAATATTTTATTGTGTATATATTCAGCTTCTTTATTCATCCATCAATGGACAGTTAGCTTGATTCTGTGTCTTGGCTCTTGGAAATAATGCTGTGAACGTGGGGGTGCAGATACCTTTTGGAGTTACATGTTTCTGTTTCTTTTGGATCTATTTCCAAAATTGAATTACTAGATCATATGGCAGTTCAGTTTTTTTTCAAGGACAATTTGTTGTCCTTCTGTTAATTGAAGATAATCGATAGGAAATAATGTGTAAGTTTCAGCTATACATAGTGATTTGTTTATATGTATTATGAAGTGATCACTACAGTGAGTCTAGTTACCATCTGTCATTATACAGAGTTGTTACAATATTACTGTATTCCCTATGCTGTACATTACATCTCCTGTCTTATTTTATAATTGGAAAATTGTACCTCTTAATCCTCTTAACCTATTTTGTCTGTCCCCTCCTTCCCGCTCTGCAACCATCAGTTTGTTCTCTGTATCTTTGAGTGTGTTCCTGTATTGTTTGTTCAGGGTTTTTTGCTGTTTAGATTACACATATAACCAAAATCATACAGTATTAGTTTTTGTCTGACTTATGTCACTTAGGATAATACTCTCTCAGTCTATCCTAGTTGTCATAAATGACAGGATTTCACTCTCTTATGGCTGAGTAATATTCCACTGTGTGTGTATATCTGTGTACACATACTTATACATACACACAGATACACACACACATAAACATCACTTTAATCCTTTCATATATCATGCATATTTAGGTTGCTTCAGTATCTTTGCTAATATAAATAATAAAGGGATGCATGTGTCTTTTCCAATTAGTCTGTTTTCTTCAGATAAAAACATAGAAGTGGAATTGCTGGATCTTATGGTAGATTCATTTTTAATTTTAAATGTCATACTGTTTTCCATAGTGGCTGTACCAATTTACCCTCCCACCAATAGTTCACCAGAGCTCTTTTCTCCACATCCTCACCAACATTTTACTGCTTGTCTTTTTTTTTTTTTTTCCTTAAGATTTTATTTATTTGATGGAGAGAGATCACAAGTAGGCAGAGAGGCAGGCAGAGAGAGAGAGAGAGAGAAGAGGAAGCAGGCTCCCTGCCAAGCAGAGAGCCCAATGCCGGACTTGATCCCTGGACCCTGAGATCATGACCTGAGCCGAAGGCAGAGGCTTAATCCACTGCACCCAGCTTGTCTTTTTGATAATAGCCATTCTGACAGATACAAAGTGATACTTCAGTGTGGTCTTAATTTGCATTTCACCGTGGTTCCTGGTGTTAAGATATTTCCATGCCTATTAATCACCTCTCTGTCTTCTTTGGAAAATTGTCTTTTATAGGTCCTTTACCCATTTTTAATCAAAATTGTTTATTTATATATATTTTTTGATATTGAGTTGGATGAGTTCTTTTGTATATTTTGGATATTAACCCCTAATCAGATATGTCATTTGCAAATACCTTCTCCCATTCAGTACGATGTTTTTTTTGTTCTGTTGATGGTTTCCTTTGCTGTGTAAAAGCTTTTTAGTTTAATGTAGTCCTGTTTATTTTTGCTTATGCTGTACTTGTTTAAAAAGATAGACAGCCCCCCCAAAATGTTGCTAAAACCAATGTCAAAGAGCTTAATGCTTCTGTTTTCTTCCAGTTTTGTTGATCTTTAGCATACATTTAAGTCTTTCGTACTTTCTTATTTTATTTCTGTTTATGGTATAAGAAAGTGGTCTGGCTTCATTCTTTTGCATGTAGCTGCCCAGTTCTCTCATTGTCATTTATTAAAGAGACTGTATTTTCTCCATTGTATGTTTTTGCCACTTGTCAAATATCAATTGACCATATAAGTGTAAGCTTATTTCTGGGCTCTCTATTCTGTTCCATTGATCTATGTGTCTGTTTTTGTGCCAGTACTATAGTGTTTTGGTTACTGTAGCTTTGTAGTGTGGTTTGATATTTGGCAACAGGATACCTCCAACTTTGTTCTGTCTCAGGGTAATGTTGGCTATTTGGTTTCTTTTGTGATTCCATACAAATTTTAGGGTTATTTGTTCTAGTTCTGTGAAAAATGCCATTGGTATTTTGATAGGGATTGCACTGAATCTGTATATCGCTTTGTGTAGTATGGACATTTTAAAATTATTAATTTTTCCAATCCATAAGCATGGCATGTTTTTCCATTTATTTGTGTCATCTTCAATTTCTTTCTTCAGTGTCTTACAGTTTTTTGTACAGCAGTCTTTCACCTCCTTGGTAATATTTATTCCTAAGTATTTTATTCTTGTTAATATAATTGTCATTGGGATTGTTTTCTTATTTTCTCTTTCCAGTAGTTATTACTGTATAAAAATGCAACAGATTTCTATTTATTGATTTTGTAGCCTGCAACTTTACTGAATTCCTTTATATTAATTCTTATTTCTGATATTTTGTTGTGGAGGCTTTAGGGTTTTTATATACATGGTATCATGTCACCTGCAAATAGTGACAGTTTACTTCCTAATTTGGATACCTTTTATTTCTTTTTCATGGCTAATTGCTATGGCTAGTTCTTCCCACACTATGTTAAATAAAAGTGGTGAGAGTAGATATCCTTGTCTTGTTCTTACTCCTAGAAGAAAAGGTTTCAGGTTTTCACTGTTGAGTATGATGTTAGCTCTGAGTTTGTCATATGTGGCCTTTATTACATTGGGGTACATTTCTACAATACTAACCTTGTTGAGACTCTTTATCATAAATGGATGTTGAACTTTGTCATATTCTTTTTATGCATCTTTAAGATGATCATATGGTCTTTATTCTTTGTTTTGTTGATGTGGTTTATCACATTAAAAGATTTGCAAATGTTGAACCATCCTTGTATCCCTAGAATAAGTTCCACTTGATTGTGGAGGACAATCCTTTCAATTCATTGTTGAATTCAGTTTGCTAATATATTGTTGAGAATTTTTGCATCTATGTTCATCAGTGATATTGGCCTGTAACTTATTGTTTTTTATGTTGTTGTTTGTTTCTAGTTTAGATATCAAGGTAATGCTGGTCTTACAGAATTACCTTAGGAAGAATTTATTCCTATTCATTTTTTTGAAAGAGTTCAAGGATAGGCATTCTGTGTATTTGAGAGAATTCACCAGTGAAGCCATCTGCTTTTGGACTTTTCTTTGTTGGTAGTTTTTGATTACTGATTCAGTTTCATTACTAGTAATTTGTATGTTCAGATTCTCTATTTCTTTTGGATTTAGTTCCAGAAGTTTCTGTATTTCTAGGAATTTATCCATTTTTTGTAGGTTTTCAAATGTTGTATATAATTATTCAGTGTAGTCTTTTTGATATTGCTCTTTTATTCCGGATTTTATTTATTGGGCCCTGTCTCTCTCTCTTTTTTTTTTTTTTTTTTGATGAGTCTTACTAAATGTTTTGAAGTTTATCTTCCAAAGGATCAGCTTTTAGATTCATTGATCCTTTTTGTTTTTGTTTTGTCTCTATTTCAGTTATTTCTATCATGAACTTTTCTGTTTCTTTCCTTCTACTAACTTTGGGTTTTGTTTGTTCTTTTAGTTCCTTTAGATGTAGGATTAGATTGTTTGAGATTTTCCTTATTTCTTGAGGTGGGCCTGTATTACTGTAAACTTCCCATTAGAACTGTTTTATTTTGTTTTTAAAGATTTTATTTATTTGTCAGAGAGAGTCAGCACGGGCAGACAGAGTGGCAGGCAGAGGCAGAGGGAGAAGCAGGCTCCCTGCTCAGCAGGGAGCCCGATGTGGGACTCCATCCCAGAATGCCGGGATCATGACCTGAGCCGAAGGCAGCCGCTCAACCAACTGAGCCACCCAGGCGTCCCCCATTAG